GCCATGGTACCAGATGCTTTCAGAAACACAAACAAAATTCATATTGTGGTACCCTTCCACAACTTAGGAGACAGGAAAGCCTCTACTGAGTAAATGGAAAAATCACCAGCTGCCTAGCACAATTCAAAGAAATCACAATATGGGAACAAGTAAATATTTGTCTTTCTAAGCAAGACCCCTCACATACATACTTGTCACTGTTGGCCAGCTGCTTGAACTCCTTCACTGTCATTGGCTTTTTCTGAATGTTGTACTGCGTGAAGAGCCCTGACTGGCCAGTAACCATCTGCTGAATTGGCGCAGGAATCACCAAATCTTCAATATCATTATAATGCTTTCTTGGCTTCCACTCCTTCGGTGGGACAACCTTTAAATTCAGAAATAAAAAAACAGGACATCAACAGTTGCAATACCAATTCAAAACATTCTGGAAAAACCAAAAGAACCAGTCAAATATGCCCACATGATCCAATGAATGCTTGCTTACCAGCTATTTCACAATAACTAACTGACCACGTAAGTGCTCCTAGACAATGCAGAAACCAATTCAAAATGGGCATAGTATTACCTCAATTCTCAAGCAGCAGCTCACTAATCTACAGCAATTCAATCATATGCAACTGTGCATACATACACATGTACAATAACAGAACAGACAAATATTTTATAATCAGAAGGTCTTACAATTCACAAACACTTCGTACTCCATGATATAAAATTGTTATCCTCAATATATTAAAAAAAAAAAAAAAAGATTCATACAAAAGATTGACAGTCCCCTGTCCAAATGCTATTTGGGTGTAAACAGTATGAATAACATTATTTCTTACTGAAAAATGAAAAAAATACGGCTATTTTAGAGAGCTTTAGATTTTAGAGTCTGTTTAACTTACTCCCCAGAAAACTGCAGGGTACAACCCTAATACAGCAAGAGTTTGCATTAATTTAAAGTTAACACTTTTATTTCAAAAACCACAGAATTACCCAAAATCTACGAAAACTTCTCAGCAGATTCTAAAGCGTTAGCAATAAAGTCATTAGGAATTTCAAAGAAGCCTGTAGTCATATCAATGTTCTTTAACAGGCTGTGTAATTTTGAACATTCCTTGCACATATTATTTTATCTGAAAAGAGAAAACTCTCTAGGTTTGATATCGCAACAGTTTTAAAACACAGCAACAGATATTTTAATATATGTTTTTGTTTTGGTTTTGAACTTTTACTTGCCCAAAGACTCAATGATATGTTCTTTGATCCACTCACTATATTCATTCTTTTCCGTGGTAGTCAAATCAAATTTTCACAAGCATTGGCTTGGAAACTTTTAAAGTAACATACAACAAAGTTGGATGGCTTTCACTAACATGCATCTACCACATACAAATTACGTTACTTAAATAACTAATTCACATCTTAGAGGTAGCCTTTACACTAGGCTAGCTAGGCTGTTCCTCTGACAAGCATTTCAGGATTCCACACAATATTGTCCATTAGAGATTTCGCTATTACATCACTCCTAGAAAGTAAAAAAAATTCTAAAAAATAATACAGATAGATCTTGAGATCATTTGCTACCTTTGGAAAGCAATCACAAATGGGCAAATTGTAATACTAATGTACTCAGGTAGTCTATTCCTCAAAGAAATCCGATCAAGACCATTCATGCGAGCAAGCACACACCAAAACAGAAACATCAAGCTGAAGAAAAGTTGTCAGATAGTAACATACTTCCATACCTAATGTTTTTATTTTAAACATAAACAGGCGTTTTTATCCAGTTTTTACACAGATGCAACTCCCTCTTTTTCTTTTTTCCTCCTCAGCTTCCATGGGACTTCAGTTGTACAGGGACTACTTAGCAAGTTTCAGTGTTCTTTGCTTTTAGAGAAAAAAAAATAATCGAATCATCTTGTGATTCCTACTTATTTCTTTTACACAAATCTTAAATTATATGCACATCAACAAAATACAAAATGTTGGTTTGGAAGCAGAGAAGTCATGCATTCAGAATATATGCATAGAAATCAAATATGTGCACAGAGATTTCCATTTTCATGATTATTAAGCATGAACGTGTAGGTTTGGCTCAAATATATGAATACTGAAAAGCAAAATTTGCATTATCTTATTTAATTCAAGGTCAGTGTGTTTTAAGCAATAAAAATATTTTTGTGAATACAGGTCCAAAATGTCCCCTTCCAGCTAACTGCGGCATGTTTATTATTCTTGTAATTAAGAGTACTGTTAGAGAAGTGAATTCTGTGGGGACCAATATGCTAAGCATCATTTTAAAAGAAAATAAAAATAGAGTCCCTGCCCCAAAGAATTTGCGTTTTCTAACAAAGCTCAGGGCAAGGACTGGAGATGTTAAAATACCATGTCCAAAGTGACACACAGGTAGTCAGTATCAAGAGTTGGAAATAATTACTAGGTCTCTGAGTTTTTACCACTGATCTGTCCCGCTGAAGCCTCTTCACATTCCCTTTAGTAAAAATAACCTCTTCAAGGCTACTGCCTCTTCAGGAAAGTTAGGTTTAATCCATGGAAGCAACCTAGATTGAATTCATCAACTAAGCTGTTCAATGCTCAAATATAAAAAAGGAGAAACCTAAGGCAAGGCTTCCTCATTTACATATCTATATATATCTCAAACATCCTAAGCATATTAACACTATCTAGTGTTACTTAGTGTGATATACATTCAGTTTTAGATAGCAATGTCTTAGCTATACCACTGAATGTGCACATTAGCACAACTTAGGTTATTTCAGAGTGCTATCAATGCATAAATTTCTGTTAAATCCTCTTTCATATGCTGGTAATCTGCTGTTCTACATTTGATTCTGAATGGCACTGGCTACTATTTCTATTTAGCTACTTCTGCCCCAACTCTTCTGAAAATTATTTTTCTTGTACTTGCCAACATCTATTTTCAGTATCATGTTCCAAAATTACTTTTCTACTTGCCAATGCAACTGCAAATGAATTCAACTATTTCACTCTATATAAATGCAGTTTGAGTCTCCAAAACACTTCTTATTCAAGTAAAGAGCAATTAATCTGTGTGCCTTCTTTTTAATTTGTTCTATTGCCTTCATTCCTTGTTTTCCTTTTTAAGTATAGGATCCTCTGTAACACTAAGACTAAAATACGTTATCTACGCCTAAAGCTCATTCCAGACTTCAAAAAGCCTAATGCAATTTTTTTAGCCAATTTCCTCCAGGGTTGCCCCAGTATATTATCTGCTCTGGAAATGGTTTAATGTACCTTAATGTACCTTAATCATTTGTTTCAGGCATAGTATTAGGATCTTATTTTCCCTTTTTTTAACATTTTATTGCCAGCACTCCCCCCTACTCCCAACAATATGTGCAAGTCTCATAGACATTTTATCCCTATTTACATACACATATTCTTCTGCACAGGTAAGAGGTCTTCTCCCCTTACACTTTCACATTTAACCTAAAGTGTTGGGTATGCCTACTCTGCTTATGACCTCTGTTTAGAGGTTAAATTACTGTTTCTGCATATGCATATAGCTCCTCTGGTAGTCTTTATTCTCTTTGCATTCATACTTGAGTCTGTATATCCTAGACTTAATACAAGTTAGGTCCTCTGTAAGTTCATTTTATATTACTACCAAAACAGGAAAAAATATTTTATTCTTGTTATTTTAAATCCAATTCCTAAAACTCAGAAAATGTCCCTTAAACTTTTGCAGTATGAATTATTGATTTGGTAAGATTTGTTTTAAAAATACTTAGTTGGTTTATTTTTTATATATAAATACAATTTTTTTTAGCTGTATCAAAAAATGGTGAAAATCAGAATATAAAAAGTCTTAAGACAACTCAGTAATATGTAGCAATTAACCAACAGGCCGAAAACAACTAGAGATACTTTAACTGCTGTTCTAGTATCAAGCAGAAGAAGGGGAAAACAGACCTACGCAGTATGATTAGAAGGGCCCTTCCTCAGTCACAGTACAACTGAAACATGACTAATTAATCATTTTTAAAAGGTTTTGTTATGCTTTCTTGTATCATAGACATTATTCCAGGTGTTCTGTAAACCTAGGTCAGCAGATATCCTACGTGCATACAAACACAGATATATAAAAATATTTTTTGTGCTCCTGGGACTATCACATTTTAACAATCTGTACATGGAGAAGAGCTTCCCAAATGGTTTTGAAATGTGATAGATGGAATGGGAATTAAATCCTAGGTGTATGGCCAAAAATATGGAGAGACACACATTTTCAATCATATAAGCACTGGGATATTAACTTCAAACAAGCCAAATTATACTATGCAAAATATCACAAGTCCCCGACTACATGGCCAAATTCTGCCCTTATCGGATGTGGTCAGTTTTAGTGACTTCAATAGAAACAGCATGAAACTCCAAGTGCTATGAGAATAGCAACAACCTCTGTAAATCAAATCTTGGAATTTTTTTAAGACTCCACTAATTTCCAGATTCTCTTAATTGCATGCATGTGTACAATTCGAGAGAACAGTAATTTGTAGCCAATTTCTTCCATCCCCCACTACCTGATAATGAGATCTAATAATCAAACTCATTGAAAAATTATGTTAATGAGAGAGCCAGAAAAAAATATCATTTCCTTTTTGGAAAAAAATTGTGTAGTCCAGATAAAACTACACAATAAATAGTTATAGTTTGATAATGGCAATAACACTGAAAGATTAATCCTTAAGGAAGCAGCTCATGATCTTATCAGGAAGGAAAGTGGTTTCAATTTGTATTTAATTACATTTTTAAAAAATTTTATATAATGTTGCTTCAAAATTTAAAAATTAATACACATTAAAAGGTCTTAAACAGGGATATGCATCTAAAATTTACTACCTACTTTTCATACTAATCCTGAAAGCTGTCATATCTCTGAAGTACTTTGATTGTCATTAAATTACTAGAACGGACTCCCCACTCATTTTCAACTCAGTTACGGGATTCTAATCTACATCTTGCAGCATTACACCATGGTGAAGAAGAAAAGACCACACCCTAACCTCTGTTCTCTGTTGCCATGATCACCATTTTACAGATTGATTTTTTACTAATTAGTGTTACAGTAAATTAAACACAGTATATGACTGCATCCATTCCACAGCCGACATCTGCATTATACTCTTCAAAATACTGAAACACCTGGTAGATATCCCCATTGCATCTAGTATTTTAAAAAATCAGTTTCACATATTCATGTGCCTAACCTAAAAAGATAACTACTACTTTGGCCCAATACAATGTTCCTTTCAGGTGTCTCAACTTCAAAACAAAGTTTACAAGAAACAAAAGTTTACATATTAACAGTAAGTGCCACTCTTTTTAAAATGACAGCATTGGTATATTTTATTGATATGATGTCATCTTTCAGTAACAAGTGAATACTCAGATCATACACGTTTCATATATGCAAGAATTAATCTCATCCTTGATTACTGGAGAAAATTATGTTTATCCAGAATCTTCACAAAGATACCTCCTTAGAGAGTTCACGAGAGAGAGAGAGAGAGAGAGAGAGAGAGAGTGAGTAGAGCAACACAAGGAGTAAGGATATGAGGATGACAGCAATATTACAGAAATTTTAAATTATATAATAAAGGCAAAACTGTTTCACATTCTTTTCCTTCACATTCTTTCCTAACGTTACTATGTCCTTTGCTCTCCTCAGGACATCCTCAATGGCTCTGCCCTTTTTTCCTACACTGGCTGCACACGGAGGTTTAACTGCTGGATGGCAGGAAAGGCACCAGAACCAGAATCAAGATAAGGAACCAAAACAGAAAAACGACTAAAGCCATATTCATGTCTCAAAAACATCTGAAGAGTATTTCCAATAAGACAAATTCATTATCTTTTTACACTTCCTACTGGCTGAAATTTTGCAACCAAGAATGACAAGACATGGAAAAGTCTCCTTTTCCAGATATCCTACAGTTCACACACACAAATAACTAGTACACTGGGCTCAAACCATGACATATTTTAGTCCCACAGTTAATCTCAAGTATACCAACAGCCTCAGAGGAGCACTTAACACCACATATCAGGAAGCCACTGACCAACGTTCCCAGCTGCTTCAATCCCTGACAGAAAAGAAAAGAAGCAGCACAAAAAAAAACTGACAGAGAGTAACTGAAGCTCTTATTTATTATGAATGTCTCAGAAATAAGAACAGAAGTTTGCATAAGCTTTTTAAGCATTATAGTATCACATTTGATGATACACCTCCTAAGAATTGTCAAAGAGGTAAACAGATATACAATTTTTAAAGGAAAATTAAATATAAGATACTTTCCCCTGCCCCCCCCCCAAATTAAGAAGCTTCTGGTTTTGAATACTATCGAATGAAAAGATTAGTTGCAGTCTAGGACAGACATAGCCATGATATTCTTCTTTTTAAACAAAACTAGTTCATTTTTTGGGTTTTTTTCCCAAACATAATTCTGGCTTATGTAATACCTTCCTTACATAGCCAGAGAAAGCAAGGAGTACCATTTATGCATACCTGGTTTATACACAACATACCAAAGAAAGCAAGCACTTTATATGAATAAACAAACTGAAATAGAAGAAAATCAGTACCATTTCAGTGGCTGATCATAAGGCATTTCCTATTTCTTTGGCTAGATCCCCATGAAACAGGATTAGAAACCACCAATAGTTGAAATAAAGCTATTTACATAAACAATACGAAAATAAGAATTTTTTTTAATGTTGAGTCCATGTACATAATCCACAGAATGATATATAGCTAGAATCTCCTGCTCACATACATGTTAATGGCATAAATCTGTTGATCAACAGATGTCACTATGATGAATTTGCTGTTAAGTTTACTGTTCAAGACTAGAGGACTGCAATAGCTCATGCCCACACAAACAAATAGGTTCCATAATATAGTTGACCATGTGAAAAATTCAGCTCAGGCTTTCCTCTGTTGTCTATTTATCACATTTCTACTCCTGTTTGCAGAGAAAAGTTTGAAAAATATGACCTATATGTACTCTACCCTCAGAAATCAGAAAGCAAATAAACTACACGGTTTTCAAAGTGTGAGGGGTTCAGTTTTGCTTTGTTTTACAGGAATCAGAGAGGAGGCAGTGGGCAAAGGGAAACCAAGAATTGCAGGTTTTGTTTCTCTTCTTTCAATTTTTAAATGTCTTGACTTTGCAACATTAGCTTACAGTGATGAAGACAGCTATTCCCACTGACTACTTAGAATAACTAAGCTAGGATTTCTAGACCTGCACCGTTTCCTGATGGTTTGAAAAGTGGCAAAACAGATATGGCATAAATACTTATATGATGTAACACTAAATTACATCAGACTTAATCTCTGACAATCATTCTCCGTTACGGGAGGAACACCTGCTGTAAGGTCCTGGATATACCATTGTTCAAAGGGCAATGCCAAGGGCAATTCAAAGGGTAGTTAGCTTACCTCCAATTCTCATTAACAAAAAGATAACACGATTACCATTAAAAGAAAATTATTTCTATTCAAACAGTGCCTCACTATCTTCACGCGTACACCCATTGACTGCAGTAGGATTATTTGCTCCAGTAAAGTTATACACAACCCTAAAAGACCGAGTTCAACATCTGGTAGATCAGGAGTTTCCAATTTATATCATGAACTCCCTATTTGTTCTGATTTGCCAAAAACTAGTTTAAACCTGCCTTAAGAAGAAATCATATTTTGCTACTATAAATATGGAAACAATTGACGGTTAGAGAGAAAATAGTATATATACAGCGTCTTCATTAGTTTGCATGAAACATCAGAGATACCAAAAAGTTCTTTCTTAAAACAGTAACAGATCAGTATCTATTCATTGAAAATCATCTGGAAAAAATGTGAAATACTAAAAAGTTCAGTTTTGCAATCAGCAAAATACAAATACTGGTATTAGGTATTAGGAACAATTTTCCTTCTACATTATAGATGTTTACCTTTGCAACTCCAGCCTTATGAGCACCTTGTGATTCCATGTATGCTAAGTATTTGTTGAACTCCCTGAATTCATCCATCGAAGGCCTAAAAGTCATGATTTTGCAGCTTGGGTTTGGAGGACTATCTGAGATGACAGCAGCCATTGTGGTTCACTTTCAATCCAGCTTTAAAAAAAAAAAAAGAAAAAAATAAATACATTGAAGAGAATAATCTGTAAAACAGTTCTGAGATTCAACATACATGTTTCAAACAGGAAAAAAGCTTCTGAAATCCTCTGCCCATGCTAGTATAAAAGGCACAAAACAAATGTTTACTTTTTCTCCTTACTCATTTAAGAATACTCAGCCCTTATCCAGCATGAACAATATTATGAGTGACATTTATACAGACCAGTCCATACCTCTTTTTATAGCACGTTTTCTCAAGTTAACCTTTAACATCATACTAGCATCTTCCTGTGTTGATCCATCTGCAGGTTGCTGCATTTTTCTGTCTACAGATTTACATTACACAGGCACAATGTAGAGCAACAAATCCACGTTTGATAAAATATCACTATTCCCATTTAGAATATGGAGAAAACCGATTGCTCACTTCCCACTCACACAGCAAACATAGAGAAAGAGCACCTGGATTTCCTAACTCTCACATCAGCAGTTTAACAACAGGACTATATTACTCCTCATTCTCTGAAACCTCTTCAACAGAAATAACGCATGCAAGTGATACACATAAAGATAATCAGTGTTTCCCCTTCTTTCCATTTCTACATTGAGGATGGCTAAAAAGAGTGTCACATTTCTGTTTCATACCAAGATACAGTAGGTATCATGAAAGGACTGATCTTTAGGCAACTGACATATATTTTAGCTTCAGCAGGTGCTGCAATTTCCAACTATACATCACCATGTGCCATCTATTATTCAAAAAATTCTTCGTTAATCTTACAAAAAAATCTCATCCCAGAATACAAATACCCCAACTGTGACTAGCTTTTTAGTGATTTTGCTTTCCTGAGCATGTGATTTAACTCATTCCTCATTTTCTTCATCTGCAAAATGCATGCAACCATGTTTTTTATGCCAAACACTGTCACCATAAGCTTTGCTTGTATGTCAGTGTATTAGCCATTAATTTCATTAGCTTCATGTCCCTTCTAGCTTGCTATGAATCGCTGCACAAGAAAGCTGTATGTGGAAGATGCCTTTATATCTTCCCATGTTTCACTCTCCTACTGGTATACCAACATTTAGCCTGCTTTTTGTGTCCTTATTTTTCCTCTCATTTTGCCTCCCCACTTCGCCCAGCATACCACTCTCCATTCTTAGCACTTAATTAGATTTCTTTTTCCACACTCCCACCTTCAGTAACATCCTATTCCCCTCCCTACGCTACTTTCCATCCCTGTTTGAACAGAAATTAACTAGATTTCTGCAACTCTCCCATTCCGAAAATCAGTACCACTTTAATTTGGGGATATTTTTGCATTTAAATTATCAAGTGCATACGGGCAAACACACCTCAACATGTGCAAGTGGGATAACTTCCCTCAGTAATAAACAGCCGCCTTGTATATAATACATCCTTCATTTATTCCTATCCATTGAAGTTCCATATATAATCTTACTACTATGACCAGTCCCAGGAAAATGAAACTTGTGATTTATGACCAAAGGTGAAGCTATGCTTTCCTTCATTACAAAGTGCAATAGACAGTGCTTACTATTTATAATGCTTCACTGACAGTAAAGTGACACTGGAAATATAATCAAGCAGGATATTTGATTTCTCCGTACAAAATCAGCTTTTAGGCTTTCACCTTTAGATGTATTAAATAAGTATATACATCAGTGAAATACACATACACACATACATACACACACCTCCAACCTCCAGAAAACAAACTCTCTATGTGCTATTTCTTCACTAAGAAAAAGTTTAATAGTCCTTCATTATTTATCATTTTACACCTTTCAATCCACTCCATTGGCTGTATACAAGATACCCAGTGGTCAGTAGTTATCTCATTATAGCATACAGATTAACATCCTTCCCTCAACTCTTCCAGTATTCTCCAACATTGTCAGTGCAGTTTTGGCAGGCTCTGTGGGGCGGAGGAGGGGGGAAGAAGGGGCATGG